ATATTACACAGAATAAACACCACATACTCAAAAAGACCTCTAAAAAAGCCATGGAAATGAAATTGTGTATGATTTAATGAGGTAGAGAGCGGCATTAATGCAGTTCCAGAGCTTAGGGGAAACAAATAAAAAACATTAATTTGTTAGCTGATGTTAATGGTAGGTTGCAATGGGAAGTGGGTTTTACACAACCACACTGTCACTATATGTTCACTCTGGGTACACACAGTGCAAACCTCACCAATTACGCCCAAGTCAATAGTCAACACTGTATGAACACAAAGTCTTTCATACAGTTGTACATTCTATGAACATTTTATAAAGATTTTCTTAATAATTTTATCATCAAATTCATTTTTAATCTGTAATATAAAGCTGAGTTTCTACCTGTCGTTAATTATATTTTGATATAATTCTGACCAATATGAGTGCATATTTTTAATATAATTAGCTATATTGTTATCATTCTGTGGGTTTCGATATTTCTACTGGAAATAATCAGAATTAACCCTATTATCCATATCAATATATTTTATGCATGAAGATGTTCAGCTTTGCATATACAGACAATCTACATACTGTTCCGTTAATTGATAATGATTGACTCATCTTCCATTAACAATTTTAAGATTTGTTTTCCTATGAGATTGTCAAAATACCACAGCAAGGGTCGTCACTCTGACAAAAGGCGACACAGCATAAGACTAGTGTTAAAAGCTCTTCATTGGTTGCCTTTGTGTAAGCTCATCACATGCGAAATTGTGTTGATGACTTACAAAGCAATGCATGGAATTGCTCCAGTTTACATCCGCATGTTAATTTCAGAATACATCCCTACGTGTTCGCTGAGGTCAGGTGACAACATTCTATTGTCAATCAATCAATCATTCAATGAATGAATGAATGAATGAATCAATCAATCAATCAATCAATCATAGAATTTATATAGCGCCAAAATCCATCAAAAATCTTCAAAGACGCTTGAACAGCAAACTCTTTATCTTTCTCTTGAAAATGTCAACAGGTTGGGACATTCTCAAGTCTTTCAATTTCAATTTATTGCCACTTGTTCAAATGTTCTGGTACAGATGAAATGAGTATAGGTTTAACAAAAAATATCATTACTAAGTAATAACCAAATATCACATAAATGTAGGCCAAATACCATAATAAGAACAAGTGACGAAGCCAAAAAAAGTGTTTGAAATAGTAGGCTCCGCAGTTAAACAGAAGAAAAATAATGAATGTATATAATAGCATTTCACAATTATACAGAAGCATACCGTAAGTGGATCAAGCAAGTAAGGGCGAAAACAAGATCACGTGATTTGCAAGAAAAATATATTTTTCAAGCAGATTTAAATACATAGGCCTATATAAGATTTAAATTCCTAATATAATTTGGTAATTCGTTTAAAGAGTTCAGGGCCATGTTGAAAAACATAGTATTTTTTTTTGTTAAAGTAAGTCTAGTGAAGGGTAGATGATGATCTCTTTGCCAATTAGAATAATAATAATAATAATAATAATAATAATAATAATAATAATAATAATAATAAAACTATATTTATATAGCGCCTATAGATATAATAGATCACAGATCCCTCTAGGAGCTTTACATAAGTCTTAAACCAGGGTGGAAAACTATCCCAAGCCGGACACCAACCCGGTATTTCTGAGTCTAGGTTTCGGAGCAAGGAATTACAAGGTTTGGCTTAACTACATTCACTTAACTACAATATGGTAGAAAACTATCCCCTGTGGACACCAACCCGGTATTTATGAGTCAAGGTTTGGGGGCAGGGAATTACAAGATTGGGCTAATCACACTCACTTAACTACAATATGGTAAAAAAACTATCCCCCGTCGGACACGAGTAAATTTTAACACTATTTCAACTGATAGACTATTGTTTCGCAGAGTGCGAAATTTGATTTTAGTATCTGGCGCCCCCAGTGTTTCTATCGGGGTTTCCATAGCCGTAGTAGTGAGTTTACCGAGTCAACTTAGCATTGAATTGAGATTTCGTTTATAATGATATAAGTTAAGAGGTGCTAGACGTGAGTAATTAATTAACACATAGTAGATTCATAGACAGAACGTTGCAGATGCTTTCCCGTTATTCATGTTAATACCGTACTGTTGTAAGTTGAGCAAGCGAAGGTTTATTGCCGCGCTAGTTTCACCCTATGGGATTAGTCTAGCCTAGGGCTAACTATCTTTTGGCCGGAGTTAATTGATATCACGTGTGTAGATGGTGATGTACAAGTGTAATCCTAAATACTAGCTCATGTTTACGATTTAAGTTTTTTAGCTCACATTATGTGATTGATGGCTTTTCTAGTGACACCTTATGTGGTACCGATTAATCAGATAATAACTACAGAAGAGTTAATTGTCATTTATTGATTTTGTTATGCTATAGTAAAATACATTGATTGAGATCGCGAGAGTATACCATGTAGCTGGAGTTAGAGGACGCCACCAACGTCGGTGTTTAGTGCCTTGAATATGCATGTTTAGCTTATTTTTTGCATTTCTTTGAATGTTTTGTTTATTACAGGTTTTCGAACCTGACTGCTGGTGCTTGTTTGAAAATAAAGCAAACCGATTAATTTATGCTGACTCCTGTCATTCATTATTCAAACGAAACAACTATCAAAAGGCAAATCGTGTGTTACCACATGGAATGTACAGTCCCTACGAAATAAAACATGTGAAGTTGTTGATTTCATCCCCTAAGAAAATATTGACATTTTTGTTTTAACTGAATCATTTTTGAATGAAGTAGGGGATGACCCTATTTATGTTAAAATAATGTGTATTGTTTGATTAAGGTTAATGTTTAAAATGCCTTAATGAAGGCCCACGACTGTTTTCAAATATCACATCTACATGAAAAAATGCTAAATTAGGGTAATGGTAGAAGCGTTCCCGTAGACGTCTCCTCCGAAAGACGGTGCGCAATCGTCCCGTTGAAATACAAGGAGAGCAGCAATGGCAATTGGACCGGGGGAATAGTGCAATTTTCAGTTAATACCATCATCTTATTTTAACAATTACTGTACTCAATATCGATTTTAGAAGAAAATCTGTTTCTGTTAAAATACGGAAATATATATTGTGTTGGATTGAGTTTGTTTAAAATTCCTTAATATAGGCCCACGACTGTTTTAATCTAACATCTACACGAATAAATGCTGAATTGGGGTGATGGTAGAAGCGTTCCAGTCGCTGCTCTATTTTTAACCGTTTCTACCACTAACACGTACTACCAGAAACAGAGAAACATCGAACATCATACCAAAAGATAACAGCATTGGATAAACCACAAGGCAAAATAGTGTGGCAAAATTAATGACAATTTTATTGTAAATTCCGCGGTATAATGACCATCCATTAATTAACCATATGCGATCAAGGAGGTATTTTCAAATACCTTAATGTTTGCATATAGTTGACTAGGTATTTTCAAATATTCAAATTGTACTACGATTGACAATACCTTAATATTGTTGTAGTGTGTAAGGTATTTGAAAATACCTCCTTGATCGCATATGGTTGATTAATGGGTGGTCATTATAACGCGGAATTTACAATAAAATTGTCATTAATTTTGCCACACTTTTTGCCTTGTGGTTTATCCAATGCTGATATCTTTTTGCATGATGCTCGATGTTTTTCTATTTCTGGTAGTACATGGTAGTGGTAGAAACGGTCAAAAACTGGGCTGCGACGGGAACGCTTCTACCATTACCCCAATTCAGCAATTATTCGTGTAGATGTGAGATTAAAAACAGTCGTGGGCCTATATTAAGGCATTTTAAACATTAAACTCAATCAAAAACAGTATATATTATTTTAACAGAAACAGATTTTCTTCTAAAATCGATATTGAGTACAGTAATTGTTATAATAAGATTATGGTATTGTACTGAATATTGCACCATTACCCCGGTCCAATTCCCATTGTTTCTCTCCTTGTATTTCAACGGGACGGAGATGCAAGTTACGATTACGCACCGTCTTTCGGGTGAGACGTTTACGGGAACGCTTCTACCATTACCATAATTTAGCATTTTTTCATGTAGGTGTGATATTGGAAAACAGTGGTGGGCCTTTATTAAGGCATTTTAAATATTAGCCTCAATCAAACAATATACATTATTTTAACAGAAACAGATTTTCTTTTAAAATAGATATTGAGTAATAATAATGAGATAATGGTAAAAAAAAAGTATGCCTATTTATTATAAGTCTATCAAACCTATTCGATATATAGCTCAGTTAAAGTTTTCCTACAGCCACTTAGTGTCGGCTAATCTGGTGGTAACCACGGTGTGTGATTTAAATTCAAATTGCTGCTCTCATTGTATTTCAGTTGGATTGTTGAAATGCAAGTCACGACTGCACACCGTCTTTCGAATGAGACGTTTAAGCAGTTGGTCCCGAGTGCATTATGGCCCATTTGCACGTTAAATGCAGTACGCTCTTCGGAAAAGAGTCAGAGATTGTTTCTGGGTGTACTGCCAAATCACCACCAGAAGAACCTAACAGGAATAAGTCTTCTTCAGACTTTCGTTGGTTATCTTTGGTATTGACACCGAATAAGTACATGCATCCATCCATCTCTATTAATTTTTTTACTGCATGGTAAGTCATTCGCTGTTATAGTAATTTATCTCACGTAGTATTTGGATGAAAATAATTTGTTTTGATTCAAATTGTTTATGACGCCAAAATTTATTACCAGGTTTGTTCTTCATTAGAACATCATCAAGAATTTTTTTTTTTTAAATAAACAACTATAATTATACTGCTATTGTTTTGCTCAACCTGTTTTAAGAGAGTGCATGAAATTTTATTATCGTAATATTGGCAGACCACATTGCTTTTGCATAGTCTATTGTTTTTTTAATAAATAAAAAAAAATGAACTTCTATTGGCAACATACACACTCCGAAAGCCATTTTTAGGTTTGAGAGTGCAAGCTGGTGAGTTTAGTTTAATTATCAGAGATACAATTTTATTCCTCAATGGTTATACAGAGATAAATAGCAGATTGAAACTCACCTCCTGTAATCTCACCATTCCAATAAAAGTATACAACAAGCATTAAGAAATAGATGTATTGTGAGACAACCAACACCGCTGCGGCTATTCTAAAATTAGAACAGGTAAATGGTCACCCCATACATTTACTGTTCCAGCTCTAACGAGCCAAAACTCGACACTAAGGCTCAGTCTCAATACATATATGTTTGTAGGCGTAAGGGCGGACACGGTCTTGACATGTTCTGGGACGGCGCTGCTACCCTAGATAGTAATAACTTCCAGGAGTTTTGGCTTGTTAGAGCTGGAACAGTAGGTGTATGGGGTGAAAAGATTACAATATATCGGATAGCTCTCATTATTGTTTTGCCATACTCAAAGTTTTGTTTCACTTATGCTTTGCAGGTTGAAAGTATTGTGCACTTAGATCATGAATAAATAAAATTATTGGGAACAAACATGATAGGACACTGTGACATAAACGTTATAGTTATCAGTAACTATTAACATTACAGGAATGTAAGTGAGATTGAATGTAACTTAATACCTTAATCCTCCATCTAAAACTATTATGAAAATATAATTCAGTAGAAAGTTTACAGCAACCGTGAACGCCAACATTATCAGTACGACGCACACATGACCTCGACACTGTAAAAATCGGCTTAAAACAAGCGACCACAATAAAATCTGCAAATAGGCAAATAAAGATAAACATGCCTTTTAGTAAGAGATAACGAGACAACAAAATTAGGAAGACATGGCGTGTAGACGAAAGTATTAAAAAATAGTTCAGAATAAAACTTACAGGTACACCCGCTATGTAAACCATACAGAATCTTCCAGCTAAACTAAATATATAAAAAAAAAATATTCAATTGTTCAAAATCTTATAATACTATAACAATACGTACAAGTTTATAGTAAAAGGTATTATTTACAAAGACATACATTATTATATAGTATATATATATATAGTATATATATATGTAGTATATATAGAGTATATATAGTATATATAATATATATATAGTATAGTATATATAGTATATATAATATATATATTATACATGTATAGTATATATAGTATATATAATATATATATTATATATATATTATATATATACTATATATATACTATATATACTATATATATACTATATATACTCTATATATACTACATATATACTATATATATACTATATAATAATGTATGTGTTTGTACAATCATAACATTCTACCGGGCCATACCACAACTTGCTAATACAAAAAACTAAACCTTGATGATTTCATGTATAAGATTTTGAATGAGAAGATGATGTACAAGAGCTATAGAAATAACCGTTTTATTTTATTATACTTTAATCAACCTTTAATGATTGTACATTGTCTTCTCATTGTTTTTACATTTTATTTTACTTGGAGAATACATGCAGATCCCATCATATATATATATATCTGTCTCTTATTAAATAATAATAATAATAATAATAATAATAATAATAATAATAATAATAATAAATAATAATAATAATAGATAATACTAGTGGACATTTATAAGCTGTCGGTGTCCACAAGGTGCAATCCTAGTGCCAGAACCAACAGGAGAGAAAATAAATATGAAAGAAAAAGTTTAAAAAGGAAAAAAACAAAAACAAATTACTAGGAGAAATGTCGGTTAAAGTCGTGTTTCTAAATCTTATCTACTGATCAATAATATTTAAATTGAAAATGACAAGATTAGTTTTGATAGGGTATATTTTTCATCTTGATGAGAAAGCTATAATTATTATGACATGAATATTAATAAAAGATAAGTATTCTTACAAGCTTATTTCAGGATCTTGGTATAGAAGTATCAGAATATTTTCCATATTTAGCAATAATGGGCAGATTAGCAGTGATATGATGATACACAGTAATAATGCTTTCTGCAGTATAATTTCTTGTTTGTAACGCAGTTGTTCTCCATTGCTCTAAAAAGTTAGCATTTAATGGTTAGAAACAATTCACAAAGCGCATTTTGTGTTTACAATGTGTATGACCCATCTGACGTGCTATGTTTAAGCTGGGCACTCACTGACGGTCGTACGGCCGTCGCACGACGAATTCAACTCCGTTCGCTGTGAGCGCTAGACGCTTGCCGCCGCAGCTGATTGTCGGTGGTCGCCTGAACGGATCGTCATTAAAAACGATCAGTTGCGGGCGCGTCGTCGCGTTGCATTCTTAATAAAATAGCGTAGACCCACGACCGTCGGGGCGTAGTGAGTGCCCGGTTTAAAAGAATAGGCATAGATAATGCCATCTTCCTTTTCGCATCATTAAATGCCTTGTAATAATTAATGTACGGTATTTTTTCAAGGTGTCATTTAATGCATCCCGTGGTCCACGTTGCACTCAATTTTCGTTTAATTGTCTTTTAATAAATAAAAAAATATTGTATTTTTGCTTGTCTTTTGTCTAAACACAAATGATATACACAAATCCAATTTCAAGTACTCAAAATGTTGCCCTCTAACGGCGCCGTCATTGCTGGGTATATTTATTTGTAACTTAATTAACTAACTTGAATATACAAACTTAGCAATTCAAATATGTAAGTAAATTTTCATTGTTTTAAGATCATAGCAGACAGGCAATGTGTAATTGATTCTAAAATACTTAGCCAATATACTCACATTTGAAATGTACGTGTTGCAGACGGTAACTATTCCAAATCCAGGTAAAATGCAAATTGTTGTTATAATCTGAAATATGGTGGTATCTGTATAACTAAGAAAACTCTAAACCATCTATTGAAAATCTTGAAAAAAAAACTGTACATAGGCCTATATATTTATATATATATATAAATCATATTATATTATATAATATTTGTTAATTGCTGATCTTTTATATAATATATGCATGTGTAAATGTATACATATTGCAATAGCGAAGGACGATTATATCTGTTTTATTTAAAACATTACCCAAGATTACCAATATGGATAAAGAAAGAACGATATAACACTTAATTATCATCACTTTGTAAATTATGTACATTTTATTATCAAATAATATAAATGAAGAGAAAATTACTATTGACACTTTCATTGACATAATTATACATGCCAAATGGCATTCACTGTTTGCATCATGGTACAGAAATAAGTTTAGGTTAAATTTAAAAATTATTCTTTTCACACATAAAGCTTATATGGACATGCTCTATCTCTCTTTACCCATCTCACTACTATCTTTACGTTTCACGAGACAGTCGAGCGTTTTCATGTTATCAGTATCTAGAATGCTTCATGTATTTACCGTTTTATTTTACTGCTCCGAATATACGCAACTCTCTTCCATATAAACTTAGATTAAATTCTTATACTTATGCATTCGGAACATCTTAATCAATAATTCTTATTTTTAAGCAGTACAACAAATATTTTTTCTAACAGGTGCTATACAAATACTAATACAATTTTATTAATGATAATTTACTTACTAGGTCTGCAAAAGATACAGCCGCCTTTTCTGTTTTATCATGACGACCCACAAATAGGACACTGTTCGTTGACAATGCGCATTCAAGTAGCATGGATGCACTCTAAAAGTAGGGTTAAAAAATCTCGAGAAGAATAATCACTGCCACATTTGAAAAATAAATCTAAATTAATGTTTAAATGTTTCCTACATAGGCCTACTTCCTATGAAGAAGAACAAAATTTAGTTTAATTAGAACTTAACCAAATGAACCAGGCGTGTATCCCGAGCTAAAGCTAAATATCCCACATATGGTGTCTATGGGACAGATTTTCAATCTGACAAAATGTTTTTTCATGATGATGATGATAATGATGACGCTTCTAATGACGATGACAGCACGATATGAGCCATTTGGGATTAATGCGTGCAAAGTGAGCGAATGGCTGGAGACAGGGAACCACCAACATGCCCCGTCAAAAATATACGATGGATCTGATGTTGTAAACTGATTTTGAGAGTTTTCTGTAATCCTTTTTTCTCTAGAGCAAAACAAAACATTAGGGATACAGGTATATAACTTATGTATCTTTGGCCAGGTAATCGCCATTGGGATTTAGCAGCGGAGGAAACCCCTGTAAAAATCCAGTGGTTCTAAAGTATTATGGAAGAATATTTTAAATTATTTTGTTTTACAATTTCTCTAATACTCCGAGTTGAAAGAGTAATTATGAGCCTAGGTAGTTGACCAGGGGGGTTTGGTTTTAACAACGTGCGTGCCGATAGTTCAGTATTAAACAAACTTGTACTTTAAGACCACGAATAGTAGAGAATGAGAGAAACAGGTCCTCCCATTCATTGCATGTGTATCTTGACAAAAACTTTTTTGAATATTGGGTAATGAGTATATACAGAAATGCTTTACAAACAATTATGAAATTTAAGGAGTGGAGTAGTTGGACGAGTTGGTCCCTTTGATGGCCCTACCCATGAGGGTCCAGTAGGTTCCTCGCTGTGTAGCACCCTGATCCAAAAGGGCTTTAATACATAACAGCATAATGTGTCTCTGACATCGACTGTATGACATATACATTAATCAAGTGTGGGTGGGGTGCCCAGCCGACCAGGGCCACCCTACATTTGACACAATTAAAAACACTTCAAATATTCAAATTTTAAGTCTGAATGAGTGCCATTTCCGGGCATCTAGAGGTGCCATAATCATAATTTGCTTTGCGACTCCCCAGTATAGAATAGACTATAGGTCCTTGATTGCGACTCCCCAGTATAGAATAGATTATAGGTCCTTGATTAGACCTTTGCGATGTCCAGTAAGAGGAGGGGTGTTTAAGGGAGGAGGAGCATAGCTCCCGACAGGAGGAAGAAGTCAATAATTTTGTCTAGGAACACGGCTTTGAAAAAGCATTTTGACCGTCTGAGAGTGCCATTTCCGAGCGTCTAGATGGGCCTATTCCTAAAATTTGCTCCAAGGACCACCTTAGTGGCCCTTCGGTTACCCAATCCATAGGGTCCAATAAAGTCCTCGCTCTATAGCACACTGGTCCAAAAGGGCTTTGTTGATACATAACAGTATAATGTGTCACTGACATCGGCTGTAGGACATATATCATATTAATCCAGTGGTGGTGGGTTGCCCAGCCGGCCAGGACCCTCCTACATTTGTAAACATTTTTGTTTTAAATGGAGATAAAATATTCAAGTCTGAATGAGTGCCATTTCTGGGCATCTAGAGGTGCCATAATCAAAATTTGCTTTGCGACTCCAAGTATAGAATAGGTCCTTGTTTAGACCTTTGCAACGCCTGTGAGTGGAGGGTTGTCTAAAGGAGGGGGAGCATAGCTCCAGTCGGGAGGAAGTCGATAATATTTTCGAGGAACACTGCTTTTAAAAAGCATTTTTACCATCTAAGAGTGACATTTCCGAGCGCCTAGAGGGGCCTATTCTTAAAATTTGCTCACCTCAGCCCCAACTATGGTGGGGCTGACGTGGGTATGGAATACCTATTGCCACCGCCCCCCCCCCACCCCGTCAGAAAATTTCGGAATCCGCCCCTGCTTTTATAAAACACGAATTCAAATACAAGGAGTACATCAAGATTTATATCATCTCTTTTAAAATCTTGATTAAATCAACTGCACAAGTAACAACAATATTTAAATGGTAATAATTAAGTAACAAAAAAAAAAAAAAAAAAAAAACACAATATGAATTACATACATTAAGCCATTAAGTTTACTTTATTTGAAATTTGCTCATTTTAGTTACTATTTTTTTTTCTCATATATAATTTCAATTACACATTTTGATTTATAATACATTTTAATGTTTCATTTTACTTATTTTAAGGAAGTAGTTATTCCTACGATATTTATTGAAGTATAATTGGTAAGAAATAATTTTTGCCCTGGCTCAGTGTTCTTATTAAGCCGATTTCAGTCTTAAATGTTCTTATTTCGTTCATATATTTACACACTTTTCAAACATACAAAATTATTATTTTACAGCAGTACATTACTGTATTATAAGGCATTAACATGAAACTTATTCCTCCATGGTATACCATTATCTCAATATTGTTATGTGTTTTATTATAATTAATTTGATAATAACAAAAATAAATAGTAACTAAAAATGAGCAAATGCAAATAAAGTAGACTTAATGGCTTAATGTATATAATCCGTTCCATCATATAATAATAGAACTTACGGCTTGAGCACCTTTAAATCCGCTGCTGCTTGTCTCTGGAACAATCTACCTTTTTCAGTAAGATCATCTAATTCTATCGCGGCATTTAAATCTTTCCCGAAAACTCATTTATTTAATAACTAGTTCAGCGTATACTGCGCCTTTGATCATTGTTCTTTGGAATTGGCGAATTACTAAATTCGTATTATTATTATTATTATTATTATTATTATTATTATTATTATTATTATTATTATTATTATTATTATTATTATTATTCATATTGTTTCTTTTTTTAATGTTTGTTGTTGTTACTTAAATATTACCATTTAAATATTGTTGTTACTTGTGCAGTTGATTTAACAAAGATTTAATAAAAGGTGTTATAAAGGGGTGGAGGAGTGGGGGAAAATGTCCGGGAGAACTTTTCTATGTGGCCAACAGTCCGGGGGGATTATTTCGACATTAATTATTTCATGATTATAACATAATTAATGTTGAATAATATAATAATAATAATAATAATAATAATAATAATAATAATAATAATAAATAATAATAATAATAAAAATAATAATAATAATAATAATAATAATAATAACAATAACAATAACAATAACAATAATAATAATAATAATAATAATAATAATAATAATAGTGTAGTTTTATATAGCGCACATATCCATCTAATGTAAGATACTCAGGACGCTTGATATGAGGACTAGGAACACGATGTCGTGCATTTCGATACTTGGAGTAATTATACTATCCCATACTGATCTTGTCTGGAATCTTATCGACATATTATCACGAGGCCCACAAGTTACCGAAATATGAACAATAAATACTGTAGTTAAAATGTAGAGAAACTTACCAACTTCCAACCAACATTCAACAGTTCTTTTGTTTCACATATAAATTTTGAAAATGTAATTGGTAAACATATAGCGGAAAGAAATTTTCTGATCAATGTCGGCATTATAAAAACACTCTCAATGACTACTACCAGCACCAGGTTTTGAATCACTCGAGTGACTTATGCTGTAACCATATTTAAAGCATAATCAGGCTACCGCGACGAATAAAAACATAGTTTAATTAGCACGATTTTTTTTTCTCGAAATTACCGACTACAACTTTTGTCACAATGTACCGAATTAGCTTCTACACCTACTTTCCAATGCGCAGTGTGTCTGCACATTTTGTTTTGTTGTGACAGAGACCATCAATTCATCACTGTTACAGGCCTACGCAATGTGTATAAGAATAGGTTTAGCATATTCAAAGATATTGAAATCAGTTGTTTTGAATCGGATTAGAGTTTCCAACCAAGCCCCAGTGGTCCAGTTGGTGAAGATGTCTATAGGCCATAAAGAAAATAACCCAGATTCGACTTCATTTTCACTTTTACTTTTCATCTACCCATACATATAAAATAAAACCATAGAA